CAGCCCCCCCAGCTCATCCCCTGCCCCATCCTGGGTACCGGCACCCCGTCCGGGATGCTGCTGTTGTCCAGAGTATCCCGGAGGGTCGGAGTCCCCCAGACTCGTGTAGGGTTCCCCCACTCGGCCCCACAGCCTTGTCCGGGGGCATCCTGGCTTACCTGGGTTATCCCGGCTGGTCCAGGGTTTGATGGCCTCTTCCAGGGAGCTGCAACTCTCCTGGCTCATCCAGGGCACCCCGACTTGTTCAGGGTACAACCATGCTCCTCCTCCATCCGTCGGGTTTGGACCACGGGCTCGGGTAGCACGAGCTCGTGGCTGATCCGGCTGATGCCGTTCTGGTCTCAGCACCACAGAAGAGCGATTCGTCCACTTTTCCCATAGGGAGGTGAAGGTCTGGTGGTGCTGGAGGGTTCTTTGATGGAAGGAGTTCAGCGGGGTTGGATCAGGCCTTGCTCTGCAAAGGCAGAGGAGGAGGATCTTCAGAGTGGAAGATGAAGGTGATAGTGCGTCCAGAGCATCCCTGTGGTTGAGTACCACCAGGCATCAATGCATTTTTAGCGTTCAGCAGAAGTGCCATGGGAGTTGAATTTTGCTTTGTCATGCAAAAGTTAAAAATAGTTGCACTTAATTCAGCACTTAAGCTTTTCATGCTGCTTTTGTGCTCACTTCTCAGCCAGGAAGAGCCTCCTTTCAGGGACATGCCAGTTTTTATTAACAATGCTTTGTCTTTCTGTACTGCGTCCTCCTCATTTTGGCCTCTCAGCCTTGTTGTTATTCCACAGATCCCAAAGCCCAGAGATGCACTGGCAGCCAGGGAGATACAGGTTTTTTGTGGGGATGCAGACCTAGAGTCTGCTCCCTGCCTCCTCGGAAACCTGTTATATGACTTAAGGCTGACACTGTCACTTCCATCATCTCTAGGCATGGAGCAGGCAAGAACGAGGACACCTTCAAGACCTCCCCATTTCATTTTGATCTGTGGTTCTACTTCACTCTGCAGAACTGGGTGCTGGACTTTGGGCGTCCCATTGCGATGGTGAGTGTGGCAGAGGCAGGCACGCTGTTTTGCTTGCGGTCGACATATTTGGGGTGGAGGACAGGGAGGCAGAGCCGTGGTGGTCCCCTGTAGACCCATGGGCTGTTTTCTACACCAAAGGGACTCCCTTGAGGAGCTGTCCTTGAGACGAGGACCACTGTGGTGTACTGGTATAACTGGTACCAAGCGTGTTGCTCCAGTCACAGGGAAGGTATCTGGGAAACTTGTTGCAAGTCATCTGTCCCTCAACTTGGTATTTTCATAACAAAAGTTACCTGGAGAGGTTCCTGCTGCTCTTTCCCATACCTTGCCTGTATCTCCGGAGCTTGGGACTCCTGGTCTCCAGATCGTGCAGGGCAGAAGTGGCCACTGCCCTCAAATGTAATTTTTCATTGCTGGCATCTGCATGTGGCAGAGGGTTAACGGAGATCCACTGCTGCAGGACCCCGAATGCCTTGCTTGCTCACTCAGCCACACAACTTCACGGCATTGTCTTTGGGCAGCACTGCAGGAGTGAATGGCTGAGATGTAAATATCCTGTGCGTTTAGCACTTAGTTCCAGATTGTGCTTTTAGGGATGCTTACTGCAAGAAGAGCTGCCCAACTTCGTTACTAACAGCTACATGAAGTCAAGCTGACGATTAGAAAGCAGCAGCAGTCCAAAGCAAGAATTTTCTCTCTCCCTGCCTTTCAGCCAGTGATGGGGCTGTAATCGCGAGCTGGGTGGTGAGGATATACTGATGTGCTTTTTATTCCCCCCTCCTCAGATAATCCTACCTTTGGAGTGGTTTCCTCTAAATAAACCAAGTGCTGGAGATTATTTCCACATGGCTTACAATGTTATCACACCATTTCTTCTGCTAAAGGTAAACCTTGAGGTGCAGGTGTTGCATTTTTTTTTAATATTACTCATGTAAAAACAGGCTGAGAGTTTGTTAGGAACTTGGTGAACAAATGTTAGTTATTCACAAACTCCTGCAAGTGAGCTGGCCCTACTGTACGTTAGAGGTTTGCCACTTCAGAAAGAATTTGTGATGCCACCTTTTAAAGAGCAACGCAGTGACCATCTTAATGCAACTCAATTTCCTGCATATACAAAGCAAATCACTTTCCCTGGGAACTCCGGATTCAGGAGGAGTCAGAGCCCTTCTCCCTGGCTGAGCCAAAGCGTATTTTTAGACAACATCCATCCATGACTTAAAAGATTTTATGAGACAGCTGGAACTATAGTAGATTTTCTGAATTGTTCAGAGCTTAATTACACTTGCTCTTCGACATTAGAATTGTATGTTTAGCTTGAATTTATCTTGCTTCAGCTGCCAGCCACTGGATCGTATAAACCATTTATGAGGTTAAAGACTGTCATATCATTAGAAATCTTCTTATATTAAATACTTAGCAGCCAGAAGATATGAGAAAGCAATTATAAATATATTTTAACCTTCATTAGCTAGAAATTGAATTATGTCCTAAGATGTAAATGATTCTCTCTCTCCTGAGTCTGTCTGGGAGATTTTAAATGCCGGTATGGCCAAAAAGGAATATTCAGGATCGAAGTCCTTTGGGTGATGTGAAAGCTCTGAAGCTCAGTCTGACCCATCACAGTCTGACACAGCCAATTTCTGCAGGCTGGGTACTCATCAGGTTAAAATTTTCTATCTTGGACTTCCCTGGCAGCACAGCATGAAGGGTTGGTCCACAGAAAAAACCCATTTGTTATTCAGGATGCATTTCTTTTGCCCAGTGTCCCCTCAAGGGACATGTCCCACTGTCTTTTTCCATCAGACAAGAGCTCTCCTGGACCTTTTGCTCTTCTTGTCCTCTCTGACTCCTCTGACATACATACAGCAGATACAGAGAAAGGGAAAGTTAAGCCTCAAAATGAAACACAAATAAGGAGCTTTTCACTGTTTATGAAGGGCTGCAAAGCTGATTTGGCAGCAGGGAGATAGGAGGCGAAGGTGGCCCAGCTGATCCTCAGGCTGGGCTGATGCGTCCCCCCTGACCCATGGTTCCCGAGGCCGGCTTGGCGTCCCCTCCAAAGCCTGAACTGCTGGAGCTAGGATTTACATCTTCTGAGGTCTTCCCTGCTTTGCAAGCTGAGTGGGGAGCTCCTTTCTGGAGAGAAGCTCCTGCTCCTCATCCCCAGCTAGGCTTGCAGGAGCTCACCCCGGGCTCTGAGGAACATCGGGCTCCCTGCCGGCCTCACGTGCCTGCCTCCACCCAGACCTAAGCAGACCATGAGATGGTACAGGGAGAGCTCATCGCTAAAGCTGCTGTTCAAAAGGTTGCCTCAACTGGTTTTGCTAGCAATTAGGTATTCCTAGATATGGGTTTAAACGCAGCTTCCTCTTTAGAAGCAAATACACAGAGAGGTGAGTCCAATTCCATTAGGAAGGAACTAAAAACCCCAAACAGTTCAACAAGAGGCCTTTGAAAATCATCCAGCAGAGAATTAGAAAGGAGCAAGTGTCTCTTAGCCAGGGAGTGAAGTGCATGTGCTCAGCTGGAGTGCTGCTGGAGGCTTTCCCTGCCACTGGAGGGCACAGCCAGCCTTGCAGATCCACTCAGCAGAGCAACTAGAGAAAGCAGTTGCTTTTTTGTTTCTCATTAATCGGTTTTGATCACATCTGGTGAAGAAATTACTTCAAGTGCTGTATTAGAAGTACTGGATCACTGATTCGGTCTAAGCGTTGACTCAGGTTATGGGTGCTGCTTTGCAGAAAGGTTTAACAAGGGCAAAAAATGTGGTTTTCTTGTTGCAAACAGGGATAAAGTGTGTATTCAAGCCTGAAAGCCATGTAGGCTGATGCAAATGTGTCTGAGGAGATGCATTTAGGGAAAGTAGCTGCAATCAGGGAAGCTCGTTCTGGTGCGGTTGCACCGCTTTCCCGAGGGGGACAACTGTTTCCCTGCTACACCTGCAGCTTTCTGCAGGCCTCTTGCTTGGTTTTTTGATGATTTTCTGCAAAGCACCGTGAAGTCGAAGAGGGCAGAACTTGTCATGTATCTCTGCTGGTACCTTCTCACTGTTCAACACATCTCTATGTTTTTTTAGCTCATCGAGAGATCCCCCAAAACCTTACCAAGATCAATGGTCTATGTCAGCATCATCATGTTTGTCATGGGAGCCAGCATCCACCTAGTTGGAGACTCCGTAAACCATCGCCTGATTTTCAGTGGCTACCAGCACCATCTGTCTGTAAGAGAGAATCCCATCATCAAGAACCTGAAGCCAGAGACACTGGTAAAGAGGCTGCATTTTATATAAGCACTTAAAAAATATATTAATTGCTTGTTCTTGTTCAATAGCATCCAGTTCCCTCTGCCCTTTTAAATCTCTTTTTGGTACATTACAGATTGATTCCTTTGAGCTGCTGTACTACTATGATGAATATTTAGGTCATTCAATGTGGTAAGCAATTTACAGTCTATCTAGTGGCTTCAGAACGTAATACAAGGAAGGGCAGATCTGATCTGATCGTAGCTTAATACGTAAAAAAATAAAATGCAGCTGATGAGAGCTGGCTGAGGATAATGTTCTCATAGCCAGTGTGATTACAGTGGATCTCTCCCTTAGAAAATCACCCATTCCCCCTAGTTTTGTCTCCGTCTCAGTGATATTTCTAGGATGTAGCAGTTGTTTGACGGCCATAGGGGCCAGAAGAACGGCTTGTCAGGTCTCACCCCTCAGCCACCTTCCACAGGATACCCAGATAAAGAGACAGGTTACAGCACAGGTCTGAGGGCTCCGCAGACTCCTTGACTGTCACCACCCACGTTTTTGCTCCTCTGGAGGTTGAACCCAAAACAACCCGACTCTGCCCAGTCTCTCTAGCCCTTTGCTCGCTCCCCTCCTTTGCTGTGCATCTGTTCAGTGACCCTCCAGCAAGAGGGAAGGGTTGCTCACATGGCGAGACTAGTGCCACCCAGTAACAGAGACCGTTTGACCGTGGTGATCCAGGGAGCTCAGTTAGGGTCTGATTTCAGCACTATTGCCCCAAGCCAATTCTAGAAATGCTTGTTCCAGCTGGACAGCATGTTTCATCCAGCATGGCTGCATTTGCTGACCCAGGGGCAGGTAATGCTGGTAGGGCCTGCAGGCTGTGGCAGGTCCCATCAGCACCCTCCCGCCCACATGAGCAGCACCAGGCGCTGTAGACGTGTCCTATGTCCTGCTGCTCTGCCTGCACCAAAGACCCCAGGAAGGACTGTCTGGCCCTTTATCTGCTGCCAGATAATCCTGAGATTGCTCAGAGCAGAGGGAAATCTCTTCCCCATCAGGCTTTCCCAGTTTATTTACTGTTCCTTGAGCGCTGTGAAGCAAGCAAATCCCGTCCTTTTAAATAAAAAAGGGCTCTGTTAGGTTCTTGAAATCCTGGTCCACGTACTGCTTTCCTGCAGTTCAGCTTTTAACACAACACTCTTACACAGCCTCTTAGAGTCTGAGAGTGTAACGGATGCAATTGTTTGATGGAGCACTTGAGCCCAGCATTTGACCTAATCAGCAAACTTGGGCTTTTCCTGCCAGAGCCCCAGAAGTCATCTGCAGGAGCACTCGGTGCAGCCAGGACATACAATAGCCCTGCACCAGGCACCGCCAGCCCTTCGTCTGTCATATGGACAGAGCAGTAATCTTGTAGCAAAAGCTGTGATGCTGGCAGAGAGGCGATGCCCTGACTGGCACCACAGGACTCCACACCCCAGTTACCTGCTGTTTCACCTGCCTAAGCACATGTGGTCAGAGCAGGCTGCGTGGCCTCTGCTTCTGCTCCTTCACCAAATTAATTCATGGACTCAGCATAGGAATTGGTTGTGTGCACAGTTTGGATTTGGGGGGGTGGCTGAAACACCTTCCAGTGTCACACCACCAATTGGAGTTGTTTATGTTTGTAGGTATATCCCTTTTTTCCTGATACTGTTTATATATTTCACCGGCTGCTTCACCCCTGTTGAAGAGGAGAGCAGGATGCCAGTGGCTGCCTTGCTTCTGATGGGGCCCAGCAGCCTTTATTACTGGTAAGTGGCTTCTGCCCCCTCTGCATGGGTGAGGGATGAAGAGGGAGTAATGCAGGCAGCCCCACAGCATGCAGGCAGGAGTTCTCCATTTTCCAGGGCAGAACTTGCTGTAGCTTCTGCTCTGCAGGTCTGGAAAATCAAATCAAATCAAATCGTGTTGAAATTTGTAGGTGCTTTAGCCTTTGCAAGCTGGGACAACTTCAGGGTCACCCCTCAGCACTCCTGTCCCTGCTCAGGGTGTTTTTTTCAACCACAGTCAGTCATATTGTTACTGCTGGAGCTCCGGCTTCCAGCCTCCATGGTACTTGCCGTTCTGCCCCCCCGCCAAAGGCTGCCGCTCACTGTGCTGTTAGACAGTTCCTCAATGATTTTGGGTGGGATGGTCACCCAGTGCTTGCAGCCCATCCGCCAGGTCTCAGCTTGTTGGTGGCAGTGGGGATGCTCTTAGCAGTTGTCCAGGCGTTTTACAGAGAGCCCAGGCCGCCTGTGTGATGCTCGGATGCTGCCTCCTCAGCTCACCCTGCGGGTCCAAATAGCCTTTTGAGAGAGGTCTTATTTATTTCCCATTTTCATTAGCCTCATCTTCCCAAACGGTTTCCCTGATGGCAGCCAAACAACTTTTCATTCATCCTCAGAGATGATGTTCTCTCTTGCCTGTGGCTTTGCCCCCTGCTGAGACTGGTTTTGTACAGTAAATTAATTTTTGATAGTCAAAATCATCAAGATGATTTGGTCAGTTCCCAGTTACCCCATTGCACTTCCTTTAAATATATCAGCATGAATCTGTGCAGTTTGTGTGCTAGCGATTTAAGAACAAGGGAGTGTAATTCCTTCTTCCCCCTGCTAACACCCGTTCAGGACTGGCCACTGCCAGATACAGCACAGGGGGAGCAGTGGATTTTTGGACTAAATAAGCACAACATCCACAGGTGGGAGCCACAGTCTGGCTTTGGTTCTGCCTTTAAGCATCCCATTCACAAATCCCCTTTCAAATCCCAGACTGGGCATGCATTTCTTTACCCATTCTCTTAATGAAGCCCATAGCTCAGTTGTTAAATTAGTGGTAAGAAACGTGAAAACAAGTAACAGCTTAAAAGCTGGCAGTAGAAAGCAGCACAGCTTCATCTGTCTGGATGTAGAGTAGGGAGAAGGGGGAGATGTTCACCCCAGGTAAAGCTGGAAGTGCTGGGGGCTGCTGTCGCTCAATGCTTTCTCCCAGGGGGCACTAACAGTTGTTTTTGCTTTGTAGGTATCTCGTGACAGAGGGTCAGATTTTCATCCTCTACATTTTCACTTTCTTTGCCATGATGGCTTTAGTGATGCACCAGAAACGCAAAGGACTTGTCCTGGACAGCAATGGGCTTTTTCTGTTCTACTCCTTCATCATAACACTGGTCCTCATTGCTGTTTGGGTGGTTTGGCTGTGGAATGACAAAATTCTCAGGAAGAAGTACCCTGGCGTGATCTATATCCCCGAGCCATGGGCATTTTATACCCTGCACATGAACAACCTCCATGCAGCAAAGGAAAGTTTATAAGTTTTGATATTTTAAGAGTGATTTGAAGAAAAAAAAAAAAATCTAGTTTTTCTAATGTAGATGTACTTCAAATAAATTCCTGACCAACAGTAGCTGCAAGATGTATGGTATGTTAACTAGAGCTAGCTAGGGAGGAGGTGTCTGAACAAAAGGGAAAAATAGTCTTTCTGACTTACTTAACGCTTTAAAGCCAGGGTCGTGGCAGGGGAGTCTCCCCTGGCTTTGCACCAGCCAGCCCTCACAATTGCACAATGCAGTTCCATGCTGGACTTTTTCAGGTGCTTAGGGGACAGCACCAAATCCCTCCCGTATCGGAGTAGGGCCGCAGCATCCCAGCCGCATGGTGGTCCACGGCACTGGCGAACACCCATCCCACCATCACCACCTGAGAGAGCATCCCGGCCTTTAACAGGAGCGGTTTGCTGGGAAGTCGGAGCACTCTCGCCCACCCGATGTCTTGGCGCGGAGAGGTGTATCCACTTCTCCCAGCCAAGTAAACATGCTGGGAATGGGCTGAGCCGCCCTACCTTGGATCTGAATGGCAGGTCTGCTCAGCCATGCCTCCCCAAGAAGTCCTCCCAGGGTCCTGGCCATCAGTGCCTGCGCTGCTGAGCACAGGCATTGTGCAGAAAGGGCCAGACTGGTGGCAGAGGCAGAAGGGCCAATTCCCCACGAACGCAGCCCAAAAAGAGCATCAGGCAGGGGGGTGAGCTCCAGCATCGGCCCGGTTCTCATGGGGTCCCGCTCACCACTTCTCCAGCCTCAGGTGATGGAGCTGAGCTCCTGCAACGCGAGCTGCATCCCTGTGATGGTTTATGTCTATAAAACTTGTATTAGAGCCCTGTGTGACAGAATCCAAGTGGTAGAAGAAAAAAAGCTATTAGCGAAACATACTGAATAAAAAATATTTGGTAAAAGTTGTGACTTGCATTGCTTCTTGAAGCAGCTCTGTTCTTTGAATGGAGAATCTTTATCCCATGAGATTTAAGGACCCTGAATGTGTCATTGTAACAGAGCAGGGTCTACCCTGGGAAGGGTCTGGTCCATGCTACAGTGGTCACTACAGCCACTAAATATTTTGTTCTTGGGCCTGGACCTCCACCACCACCTGGCATCAGGTACTTCATCCCCCTGCTCACGTGCTAGCCCTGCCTGCACAACCGCTGGGTTTCTTTTCTTCAAGCACCAGCGGATCCGGAGGAGGAAAGCATCGCCCATCCCGCACCCAGCAAAGCTGCTGGCTCAACTTTTTTTTGTAGGGGACAGGATGGGACAAAATTGTAGATTCATGTCTAATACTTGCTTTTCAATGTCTTGAATGTCAACTGAGTGGCAGAAGCCCTAGTGCTGGAAGGGACCAGAAGATGTGAGCAAACACGGCTGTTTGTCTGAGCTAGTTCACAACAGCTGGAGGCTCTGCCTCCCCCACGCACCCAGCGTTAAACCCCAGAAGCTCTCCAGCATGCTGCAGCCCTCCCTCTCCCTCAGCATCATTTCCTCAGCATCCCCCTTCCGAGTCCCTCCTGAGGGCTGCAACAAGACTTGGCAGTCCTAGAGGCCATTTGCTCCCAAGCAGATTAGCTAAATAAATGCTAATAAATAAAAACTAAGACAATGGGGAGCTTTTTAAACTATCTCAAAAATCCCTTCTCCTCTCAGCCTGTCTGCAATGTCCCAGCTCCTCCATGCTTGCACAGGGCGTATCTAAAACCCACTTCCCCTGCAAACCCTCCAGGCAGCGCACAGCCACATGGCCAGGGATGCCCAATGCCCTGCACTGAGCTCAGCAAAGCCTGAATTAACTCCTTCTGCTGCCCGCCAGCAAAACCCCTCCAGAAGTGAACTGCAAAGCTGTAAATGCCCCCGCGCCCTTCCCCAGCCACCTCACCAAGGCTGGGTTTGTCTCCCAGCAGCTAAGCTTAGTGCAAGGTGTGCAGCTCTTTGAGATTATCAAACCTTTTGTGTTTAACCAGCCTGATCCCAAACACCCTTAAACCCCAATCGAGGGAAGCTCTTGCCCCACTCCTCCTGACAGCATCGCTGCTCGGGGTCCCGTCCGGAGTCCCAAGGTTTTGGGGAGGCTGGGGAGAGCCCCCTTCTCTCCAGCAGCATGCGAACAGGAGCTGGGCTGGCAGCAGGATCCAGCCCCAGCAGGGATCAGGTCTCGTAGTCATAGCAGCAGGGTATTTATTACAGCCCGGCCGTACTCCACCCGGGGGCTGGTGGACTTTAGCCCTTAATCGAATAGAAAAGTAGCTGCAGCCACCTCGGATCCCCACGGGCAGCATAAAACACAAGGAGGGCCCCCAAAATAATGGTGAGTGAAGCGTTTCAGCTGATACAAACTGCTGACCCCTCCTCATCCCATCCAGATTTTAAAGCTGTGTTGGTTTTTTTTTTCTCATCTCCTCTGCTTCATGCTACAGGCAAAATTTCTGTCCCAGGATCAAATTAATGGTATGTACAGTTTTATTCTGGTTTTTATTAGCAAGATCAGCTTAACAAATTTATATTTATATATATTATATATATATGTAAAAAATGGCATTTCCCCCCAGAGTGTCTCTGTCTGGGCTTGTGCTCCCCCACTTGTCCTCCTCCCAGCTCTTGAGGGGATCTGCTTGCTCTGAAACCAGAGAAATCTCCCAGATTTTGTTAAAACAGTGCTGGGCACAGGCAGGGCGCTGAAACCACCCGCAGACCCACACGCTGGATTGCATCAAGACCAGAAGTTAACCAGCAACCTCCCAACCCCATAAACACGTCAGCCCTGGCCAAGCTAGCAGGGACCAGAAGTTTCAGGTGATCATTTGCGGTAGTGGAGGTTTCATGTATGACAGGAGTAAAGGTGAAGGAGGAAGAGGAGGAAGACGGTGCAGGAAGTACAAATTCTCATTGCGAGACACCAGGGCTGTCCCTGGGAAAGGGGACCCCTGCCTCAGACTCGAACAAGGAAGGGTTTGCTACGGGAATGGCAGAAGAAAGCTGAAATAAGAGTATTATTGCAAATCTGTTAATCTGCAGCGCCCTCGGGCTCAGCAGGATTGCTGCAGGGGAGGAGGCGGCCGGGGCAGGGGGAGGCCACAGCACCCACGGGGCCCTGGCACCCCACACTCACGCCTGCAAGAAGGTCTAGGGACAGAGAGGATGAGGAGGGTGGTAGAGGGTGAATGCACCAAAACAGGCTGATTTTTTATTTCCCTGGCTGCTCTGCAGACAGGACTGTCCCCATGCAGCACAACTTGCCCGTTAGCGTTGAGCGTGACGAGGAGGGAGCAGAGTGGGAAGGGAGGATGAGAGACGGCAGCCTTATCTAGGTCAGCTGCAAGCCTTATTTATTTATTTGAAAACTGCGAAGCCAGTGTTTGAGGGGGAAGGGGAGAGGGTGAGCAGGCAGGCGAGGACCGCGGGGAGAAGCGAGGGAGGGAGATGCTGCAGTGGGATGGCGGCAGGGCGAGCAGGGACGCTCTGCTAGACTGACGCAGCTGGCAGCACTCAGACTGTCAAATGCGGCATTATCAGTTCTTTTGTCTTTTATTAAAATCCAGCCGGTGGCAGGCCGAGGCAGGGGCAAGTGCCAGACTCAACCAGCATCCTCCACTGCTCCTTAAGGCTCATTCCTTTAGCATCCTCTCCTACCCTTCATGAAGGCAGAGAAAAGTACTTAACAGTATTCTACGTATTTGGAAGCCTGACTCCACTTTCAGACTTGCTTCATTAGGCTGAAGGACCCCAATTAGCTCAGCTATTCACAAGCCTGGATTTTAATTGCCCTTGGCACTTTACCCGGGGTCCTCCCCCACTGCCCATCATCCTCCTTGAAACAAGACACCCCAAACCAGACACAATATCCCTGCTGGAACCCTACCAACGCCGCCCGATCGGGCAACGGGAGAAGAAACGTCACTGGCAGTTCGATGTAATCTTACATGGCATAACAGAGTTTTGGTTTTTAATTAGAGTTCAAGGAATGTTTTTCCCTGTACGACAAGAAACAAAAAGGCAAGATAAAAGCCTCTGACCTGATGGCAGTGATGCGGTGCCTGGGAGCCAGCCCGACGCCAGGAGAGGTGCAGAGACACCTGCACTTCCACAAGATTGGTAAGCAAAGCGCAGCGGTTGCATATGAATAAAACACAGTGGATTACGGTTGGAGAAATTCAACTTTTCTGTGGTCAGAAAACTACATGCAAAAACAAGGAGGCTTCCTGGAGCCCCAGAGATAATATTCACTCAATAGATACTCAAACAGGCCAGGCAATGGAGCATAACCAAGAGCAGTCACAAAAACCTAGTCTGATGTGCTAGATGATGAACAAAGTCAATCCAGCATACGGATTAAAATAGTGCCATTAAAAAAGAAAAGCTTCAAGAGCAGTGGGAGGCATACATATTGATTACGGATTTTGAGGCTGGGAAACTGCCCAGTCCAATCAGCAGAAGTAGAAAAGCACAAAAAGATATTAATCTGCAGATTCGTCTAAATAAATTCAAAGCACAGCACAGAGACCAAAGAAGAATCACCAGATAAAGTGGGCTGGGCTAAAAATTCTGGATACGAGGTTTCAGAGCACAAGCCTAGCAAAGCTATAAATGGGTTTTCGGGCAGGAGAAAGCCCCCAGGAGTGGATCCACCCTGGTCCAGACCAGAGTCAGGCAAAAGGGAAAAGGTGCCCCAGGAAGGTGAACTGGGGGGGGGGGGATGCTTACGTTTAGATGCAGACTACAAAACTGAGCCATTCCTAAAGAATCTGCTCTTATTTTTCCAGACAGAAATGCAGAGCTGGATTTCTCCACTTTCCTGAATATAATGTACAGGCAAATGAAGCAAGAGGAACCTGAGAAGGAAATCCTCACGGCCTTGTCCATGATAGACAGGCAGAAAAGAGGCGTTATCTCAGTTTCGGAGCTGAGAGCCAAACTTACAAGACTAGGAGAAAAGCTTTCCGAGGAAGAAGGTATTCTGCAATTCAAAGATGTATCAAATGTTCCCCATCTTCTTATATCCTTCCTGGTTTTCCTCTGTAGTCAAACCTGGGATCGGGCACTTCCAGCTGGGAAGCCAGGAAGGTCCTGGGCCAGCAGGACATAGCACTGGTGACCCTCGGGGGGAGGGAGGAGAAGGGATGGCCTCCCCATCACGCCCAAGACGTGCAGTGCACCAGGGCATTGCAACTTGCTGTCGTGTCCCCCGTCCACCCCACCGGCGCCGGTCTCTTCCCCACGACAGCCGTACCACGAGCTTGTGCTGCGGTTTACACCACTTTGCCCACGTAAACGAGAGCCCCCAGCTGAACCCAGACAGGCGCTCAGAGCAGGCAGCACTCCCAAGCCGAGCCGAGCGCGTTAGCAACGTCAGCTCGCTGCAGCTAATTCAACTCACATGACGGCAAAGTCTCCTCGCCCTTGTCAGCCTTTGCCCACGCCACGATCGCTAAGCAGAGATTCTGTGCCTTGCAGAAGAGGTAAGCCAGCTGCCCGTTAACCAAGAGACCTTTTCCCTTTCTCAGGTTGTTTCCTGAACGATGATTTTTTTTACCCTGAGATGCTTCGCTGTATTTATAAAGCAAGTGCCTGTCCCACGAAGGGCCCTGGGAGAGCGTCTGCCCCCCCAGCTGCAGGGATGCTCTAAGGACCACACAGGGCACTGGCAGTCTCCCAAGAGCAATGTGAGCTCTGCAGCCAGCACAATTTGGAAGAGAGAGGGGAACTTTTTAATTTCTTTTAAAAAAATAAAAAATAATTAAAAAAAAAGTCCTCCTTGTCAGAAATTTGACCCCAAGGGGCACAACAGGAGGGAATTTCCAGGAAGCTGAAAGTGATCAAAACCTTTTAGACAGCTGATTTTGCTGTAGGCATTTTATGTATGTCTATAAACTTTTAAAATGCATCCACCACTTTTCCAGCCTTCACAGGCTACAGGAGCAGGCCCAGGCCTGCAGAAAGGCAGGGCAGTGCTCTGCACACCCCTCCGCCCCTCAGTCCTGGGGACCGGCTGTCCTGTCCCCTCCTTGCTCCAAACCACACCACCTTTGGCTTCTTCTCCAGCTCTTGCAGAGCTTTCACCCCTCCAATGCCACTGCAGGGAGCAGGCTCTGGAGCTTTCAAAATTGCTCACTCTCTGCCAAAGACAGCATTAGAAAAACCCATCACCAGCTTGATACGGGCAAGGAATGAGTTTTACCAGGGTTATGGGGTTTGTACAGACTCCATTAAGCTCCTTGAGGGTATGAGAACTGTCCTTTCTACTGTTAAAAGTAGAATTTAGATTTAATCAGAGTAAGGTTGATCAGTGCAGTCTCCTCACCAGCTTCACCAATGATACACCAACAAGGCATTTCTTCTGAGTGTTTTCTTCATTTGTTTGCAGCTATTTACATCTGAAAACACTTTCAGAGCTATTATGAGAGCTGAACAAACAGTGAAGACATAGAGACATTAACCCTAATTAAAGGCATCCTAGCAAGAACCACTATTAAATAAAGATTTGGGAGGTGCAGGGGGATTTCCCATTACTTTGGCATATAGGCTGCACATCTACTCAAAACTTGTAACAAGGCACTATAGATCCTAATGTAGGAAGCGATGCTTCTTCTCAACAAGGAATTTCCCCTTTGGCTTGACACACTGAACTCCAGCTTGCTAAAGCTGCTATAAATATTTGATACCAGAACAGACTCAATTTCATTAGCATCTGCAATTGTTCAGTAACTACTGGCACGTACCTTCATTTACAGTGGCTCCAGAAAAGCCTTCATTTTAATTTAGCATACTTTTAGCAAATGAGAACCGACACATTTTTCTTCTGTGTTATTTTTAAATGTTCTGGAAAAAATTAATTATTTTTTGAATTTATGTTCTTAGAAGCATTTGATTACCATCAGGCTATTCTTTTTGAAAGGAGGATTAGATCTCTTGGAAAGAAAGTTGTTACTTACCTTACAGTAACAGCAGTTCTCACAACAGCCCCTCATTTACCCCATGCTGCAACCAAATCTTCCTGGCAGCAGCTCCCACAGGGGCTGCGCTTACCCCCTATATACACTGACACCTGCCTGCAAACAGGGGCAGAGGGGAAAACAGTGTCTCATCCAGTACTCCCACGAACAGCAGAGAGAGGAAACAGGTTATGCTGCTCATAGAGACCTTCCACAACAACTTACAGTAAAACAGCTTTTTTTGCCCTAAACCTTCCCCCCTCCCATGACCTTCCCCCTGGATTTCACAACTGGCAACTGCAAAGCTATTATTCTGTGCTCCAGTACGAGTACTCAGAGTCTTATTTAAACAACCACAGCTTGTTCAGCCTGAACAGCCGTTCTGGTAACCTCAGCCAAGTAGCTCACAAGAAAACACACAGACCAGCCTCCACCAACCTGCCCGCACCCATTTCAGAAAGGGAGAGCACTCGAGCAAGACCCTTGGTAGGTGACTCCAACCCATACTGGCATGAGATTATGGAGCATGACACCACGTATGATCCCTGTTTCAGTGGTCTATCAACAAGCTCTAAACACCTAGAAGGTGTCCCGCTAATTAATTATCAAATGATAAATGCAGGTGTACAACCCAACAGCTTCCTCTCCAACAGACTGCCTGCCCCATCCCTCCGCACAGCATCCAGCCGCGATCCTGTTCACACATCGCTGGCCCAAAGCAAAAGGGCAACCCACTTGTGAAACTGGACACGCGCCCCTCAACATTAGCAAGCATGCAAGCAAAAACCTCTTCTGGACTGTATTAGATACCTTATCAAAGGAAACTAACTGCTGCCTAAAACATTATCAAATAGAAGCTGCTGGGATTCTCTGATGTTTGTTTTAGCACCCACCCACTAGATATGTTACAGGTAAAGTAAACAAGCAAGGGAATTCACCTCCTCTCCTGTCATCCAAAGGAAGATGGCATCTAATCCCAGTAGCAGCTTCATTCAGCAACATTTAACTTTACTTTTCTATGTGTCATTTCTTAGTACTTCTATTTTACTGACATTATTTGACAGGAAAAACACCTTTTAATGGTTTAGCCTGTACAGAAGAGAGCATTTTAAGTTAGATAACTGCTATCACTGCCATGGCGTTCCCAAAGCTGAAATGAAAAGCATCACTACTGCCAGATGCCAACTGCACAGTTACCACATCTGCAGAAGTATTTTCAGTGAGAGCCTTAGAGCCCCAGCTGAGAAGGTATTCTTCACTTTCAAACACTAAAGGCCTGCCAATATTAACAAACAGCACACAAATCTACATAAAGTTGAGCACATAATCTGCATGAGCACTTAGTTTTGTCTAAATTGAACAGGGACAGGTTTGCTATTCAAGCCAAATAAGCCACTCCTACCAAGAGCAATGAAAAGCTGATTTGGACTAAATTTGTGAATCTTTTCCTTGTGGCAAAGAGATGGACATCTCTGCTCCAGAAAGTTACACAACAACATCAAAGTGCCAACTGATGCTAGTTTAAAACTATCATCTGGATGGCACCTCCAACTGATCCCAGAAGTTATTACTTCTAAGAAAAATTATTTGAAAACCCAAATCCTGCATTGCTCTTCTTTTGAAGATCATGACATCCCTAATATATATGCCACTCAGACTTACATTTTTCTTTTACTCTTTCTTTCAGTTGATGACCTGCTAAAAGATGCCAAAGTTGGACCAAATGGAACAATAAAATATGAAGAATTTGTCCGCATCATTTGTCTTCCTACAGTTGACTACTAAAATTCAAAACAAGAGATTTGATAAGAGCAGGACCTGCAATTTTTTTACTTCAGTTCTTCCTAGTTACTACCTGGACTCAGGAATCATCATTTGCCTTTACAAATCCTTATTTTGCCTTCATGATAGTGCTTACACTTACACAGGTTCCCACCCCATTTCTGGAGAAATGTTGTCACAAAATGTGAGCTGTTACTTAAATAAACTGAATGTAACATTCCCTTGTGTAACAGGTGTCGTGCTTAAAAAAACCCTCTTATTTTAAAAAGGCATTTAAGTCTACAGATTGCAGCATAAATGATAACTTGTAGTTAAGGTCTCATGGTGACTGTGTTCCAAGAAGTCAGCATCACTCATAACCATTTGCTGCTTCCACACGCCCAAGCCCAGGCACAGTTCTTTGTGTAGAAACACATGACCCGGGAAGCTTGATTATGTCACGACAGTGGTAAATTTAGTATAACTATGCACAGCTCCCCAGTATTCCTTGGATCCATGGTATGTTCTCAACCAGATGTTCCCCTGTCATGAAGTTGTCAAGTTAACAGCCCCACTTGCGGGGTGGCCACATCCCTGCTGACTATCCAGAGCAACAGGAGACAAACAGCCAGCAATTCTCCAACTCCCCCAGTTAGTGATGCTCACCGGCTGCAGAGGACAACTCCCAGTCTCCAAGCTCAGGAACAGTCTATGATCGCTGTCTCATTCCTCCCCTCACCTTTCACTCCTCCAACATACAAGATGTCTGTATTGTTGTACTTCTGTCACATTATTTATTAAGGTGCAGTATCTTGCAATGTCAAGTCTCTGTGCAGTTAAGTTGCCCCCGCATTTTGAGGCAACACACTGAAAATGCTGTGCTTGGTAAATGTATGTGTCACCAAGTTCTGGGCTAGCTGCCCAGAACACACTCCCAGAGACAGCCTGGCAGGGAAAAACAGAGGCCATGAAAATTCAGCTACTCTACAACAGGAAAAAAACACCCCATCTCCCTTGCCTTTAGACTGATTAAAATCAATGTGACCCACAGCAGTCGTTACTGATCTTCTTCCATCTATATCCTGGCAGCCTTAACTAAGGTCCTCAGACTGGTATGAAATTCAGGACAACATACAGCATATTCTCTCCGGAGTGCAGAGACCATCCTTGCACAGTCACAGCCTAAGCAGCAACCTGTGAAGTACGCTGGAAGAGCACAGGCTCCTGCCGTGGCTTCTACTCATGGGAGCCCCCTTCTCCTCCCTTCAGCTTCCCTTCCTTCCACCGATGCCTCTCCTTCCTTTTTTTAATTCTGAATCTTTATCACTGAAGCAACTAACTCACTCTTTGCTCAATTTATGAAATGACCAGCAATTAAATCATCACAGCCGTTTCAGACACAATGCATTTATCCCCTACTGAGGCACCCAGCACAGCCTGAACACCGCAACTAATGCTATCACCAAAACCATCACACATTGCTGCAACACTTGGAATCAGCCAGGACTGCAACTAGCACAAACTTGGTTATAAACTGAAAAAAAAAAGCACGAGCCAATCATAACTCTTCCAAATCAGTAACAGTGTCTCCAGAAGGGTAAAGCAGAGATTATTCTCATGGAATATTATTACATGGGGTAAAAAACCACAAAAGATTAAATGACATGCTAAATGCTACGCAAGAAATGGAAGCAGATCCAGGATGTATCTTTCAGACAAATGGCCGTTTTGTGCCCTACCGCTCCTGATGCAGAGCCAAGCTGCAGAGCCTGCTGTTCTCAGAAGACAGCAGTCCCCGACTAACCCAGTAAGCTCAGACTTGGATCCTGACATGCTAAGATACTAAGCAAAGGCCCTCTGAACAGCAAAGGATCATGATTCAAGGGGAAATAAACTTTGCTTGATGTAAAACTGACACACCTTGTCATGCCTGTCTACTACATCCCTCAGTTCTTATATTAGCTCTTCCTACTCTACAGACAGAAAACAAAACAAAAACCCCCTTGTTTCCGTGAAAATTAGTTACAAGCAGCTCAACACTCAGATAACACTCCAGAAAAACAGTATACAGTGAACTAAAGATAGGATTCACTAGAAAAACCAACAACAGGTTCCAAATATCAGCAGAAGATAGGATTTCCCTTGTAACTCTCTTCCCACTGTTCACAGCTAATCTCAGTGTTTGGACAAAAAACCCACCTACCTTGACGCTGAGCCTTTCCGCACTAGTGCCTGTTGGAGGTCTGCCCACAGCGTGGAGTTCAGTTTCTGCCCTCCGGAGCTGTTCCAGACCTTTGCTACAGAAGTACCAGCAATGAAGGCGAGCAAAAACCTCGGTTGCTTTGAGCATGAGCGTAATTAGCTTATGAAACAAGGAGTTCATTTAGAAGCATTTGTTTCCAATATGCATCAATAGCCAAATTACAAATGATCCAATACACAGCTTAATTCTTCCCTATTGACCAGAACAGTTGATTAACAAATCCTTTCAGCTGCAGACAATATAAAAGCTTGTATGTCATGGGGATTGATCAGCTCAAAATCACTTTGGATTACTCCAGAATGCATCTGTATCATAACAGGCGGTTACTACCCTCTCTGGGTGGGTAAACATTACCCAAATAAAAGCTAGCAAAAAGGAATTGCACTTCACACACTCACAAAACAAAGCAGCATTGGTAGAGCTCGGAGAGACAAGTGTGAGACACTCCATGCCACAAAACGTTTAGAAGCAAAAGCATTCCTGTTCAAAAGTGACCTTTGCAACTCTGAGTTCACAGAAAACACCCTCCTCGCCCCCCTTTTTTTCCCCCCAGGAAACACAACGTAACTGAATGCTTTTTATTACATCTAAAGATTTCTACATAAACAGGTAACATTCAATAGGTAAACCATTTTTTTTTCCAATGCATATAATAAATATTTTCACTTGGTACTTTTATACAAACTGACATTGGTCTACTATACATTTTTAAAAGCCATTTACTGGTTTGGCATGCCATATGGAAACTAAGAGAAAGTTTTAAGGCAATGAATGACAGATTTAAATTCATGGAATTAATGGTAATTTTAATATTCTGCTTATATACATTTTTCCCTTTGTTAATTAAAACAATTAACAGCAGCACTTTCGGGGACCACCAGCAATTTTCCCTTGTTAGAAATCTAAGCTCTGTTTAAAAAAACAAAAGAAAAGAAAAAAAAGAAAAAAAACAGTTACACTGACAAAACAAAATCCTTTCTATTTAAAATGTGCTTAAAAACCTGAAATGTTAAACTGCAACGAAGAATTAATTTTCAAAACATTCTCCTCACAGTCCTTAGCTCTGCACTGGGAGGCAGGTCCAAGAGAGTCCAATGAAAATCTATCAGTCACCTCGTCCTTGAAAGGCTTATTGAATACTTGCCATGGAGAGGAAGGGGCAAGCCTGGAGTTGTTGTCACATCTATCATTATGGAAGGACTACGAAGTTTTTAACGCATGGCATAGGTTACAGTTTAGCGTGGTTTTTCATCTTCTGAAGGATGCATCAAGTAATGCCCTCAAGAGCAATTCAAAGCCACTTCCACCCTGCTATTCAAACAGCTACGTGCTCACACCCGGGTGTGTATGTACATACGCACACACAGAGCTCTATACCTAACACAGACACACGTGCGCATGTGTGCACACCCCGCTCCTCTAGTGGAAGAACCCGAGGACAAGAGACTGCTAGTTTAAGGATCACAGAAACTCTGCAATCTGCAGCGGATGGAGCAGTACCGCAAGCCAGGCCACCCTGGGTTGCTTTACTGCACCTTTGACAATATGTGAACTAACAGAGATTGAGTTTTGGAGCGACATTTGCAGGGAACTTGTCGAGAACTCAGACTGAGACTTCTACCAAGCAATGTTAACTGTGGTCAGAGGCACAGAGAATTATCAACTATAAAGAACACCCTAGCATGAAACAGGAATACTCACACAGCATATGGGATTAATACCACAAAGGAGGACTTAAGAACATTTCTGTCCCTTCTTTGTAGAGCAATGAGGTTAAAAAATGACAACGGTGAACTGAACAGCCTTCCTCCCCTTCAGGGTAACTTCTGAGGAAATGGAAGACGTCATCAGCTGACCTCACTTTCCAAAAGCTAAGACAGGCATAAAGTTGCCAGATTCTGTGTTACCACACACTCGCCACATTTAAATTTATATGTGAATTAACAAGATTTTAATACCACTGTCAAAAGTGACATAAGCTGCTCTTCAGGTCATCTTTAACAATACAGTCAATGGAAATGTTGCCACAATCATCGGTAAAACAGCCACAAGCTCTCCCAAATTTCTCTTAGGTGTTTCAGAAGCTGGGGACACGCACGCTCCCAGTTACACTGATGGCAGTTGTACTCTAGATTTACAAATGGTATTATAGCAAAGCATATGCTCTGAAGTTACCAGGTTATTTTTCATGACTAAAATGTATGAGATATATTCCTAGTGTAGGTTTAATCACTTCAAAATCAGACTGAGTTTAAAAAATAAGTATTTCCCATTTTCTATCCTTTTATTTATTTTTTAACTGACATTTAATAAATTATAAAATTGGTGTATGGTGAAATATATATATCAGCCAGATATGTATGAAATACACATGCATGGGAAAAACTATTTAACTCACTTTTAACTCACACACACAGATCTATAAATACATATATACACACACATATACATATAAACACAAAACATTTGTTTTCAAAATTCAAGTCAACTATTTAGTGGCAGAGGGATGCTGTAAAAACACTAAAAACGATTTTGATGCCACATAATGTGAACCTTTCAAATAACCATACGACTGATCATACAGCAATACCTAATGCTACTTGGATTAAAGTTTTTTTTTTTCTTTTTTCCTTTTTTTTTTCTTTTTTTTTTCTTTTTTAATCAATGCAAGATTTTGAGACAACTTCATAGGCAAAAGGTGGCCCTTGTCAATGCTCAAAGCAACTAGCTGCAATCAACAGTTTTGGACATTAAAAATTCA